CTGGCTGACAGGCAGGAGGGGGTGCACAGAATTCTTTCTAGTATGGCCAGCGAACTATGGTAGAGCCAGGGACGTATTAGCCGCGAGGCAAAAAAAGCCTTGGGCTGCATTTTTCAGGTGGAGGCAAAAAAAGGCGAGGGACCACTGATTAGTGAGCTCCCTCACCAGCGCCGCCCTCCTGCCCAGCAGCCCCACTGGAACCCAGGGAAAGGGAGAACATCCCTCCCCCCAGCATTCCCAAAGGTAAGGAGGCTGGGGGGGTTGAATTAAAAAAGAAAAGTGAGTGTGTTAATGTGAGTGTGTGTGTCTGTTAGTAAGTGTGTGTGTGTCTGTTAGTGTGTGTGTGTCTGTTAGTGTGTGTGTGTCTGTTAGTGAGTGTGTCTGTCAGGGAGTGAATCTGTGAGGGGGTGTGTTACTATGTGTGTGTCTGTTAGTGAGAATGTATGCGTGTCTTTTGGTGAATGTGTGTGTCTGCTAGTGACTGTATGTGTCTGTTAGTGACTGTGTATGTCTGTTAGCTAGTGTATGCCAGTCAGTGCCTGTCAGTGCCTGTCAGTGAATGTGTGTGTGCATTTAGAAGGCGGGGCATGGGGGAAGTGTGGAATAGCGCTGGGGGGAAGGGCGTCTGAGTTTTGTCATACCTAGGACAGCACAAAACCAGGATACACCACTGGGTAGAGCACAGTGTACTGTGAGTGGAGGAGGTGAAGATATGATACCAAACAGGACAAAAATATTCTCTAATGCTGCCTGCAAGGCCATACTTTGAAGAGTGCAATAGACATAAAAGTGGGGGAGTAGTTAAAGACACCGAAGGGGGAAGTAAAATACACACAAAGAGGGGTTAGAGACACAATAATGAATAAGATGGAAAAAGGGGAATACAATACACAAAAAAGGATTAGACACAAAAGGGGCAAAAAGATGGGTAAAAAACTTAAAAGGAGCAAGAAGGGGGATAGGAGGGATAAAAGGGGTGAGGAACACAAATGGGGGAAAAAGACATAAAAGCAAAGAAAGAAACACAAAATTAATAACATTGGAAAATAAATACAAAAAGGAACTAATGTCCACAAAAGTGGTAAAAAGGGGTAAGAGATACAAACGTGGGTAAAAGAGGAAAAATGTGGAAAGAAGAGTAAGAGACACGAAGGGTTATTGGGGTTCAGAGATAAAGGGAGGTTAAGAGGCACACAAGTACAAGGGAGAAGAGGGGTAAAAACACACACAAAAAAAAACCTTGGAGGGAGATTTATCCAAAATGCAGTTCCCAACAAACCTAGGTACATGTCTGTTCATGTTCTTTATATCTTTTAACATGAGTGTGTTATTTATGGTATATTTATTTTAATAAAGTGATTAAAAATAGGATAAATATCTTCAGTATGTCAATTATCATCCCAAAGGCCAACGAAGTGCTGAAGAAATTCCTTGATGAGAAGGAGAAGATTGAAACCACTATTTTGCAAACTGATCAGTCTCTGACCGAAAATGAGAAAATGATGGCCGGTAAGATGGAACCAGGAATTTTGGAAGTCCCCATTACAGTTCAGTTCAGTTAAAGGGACACTATAGGCATCAAAACAACTTTAGTTTAATTAAGCAGTTTTCATGTAGAGATCTTGTTCCTGCTGTCTCACTGATCAATTTTCTGCCATTTAGGAGTTAAATCACTTTTGTTTCTGTCCATGCAACCCTAGCTACACCTCCCTGTGACCATAAAAATTGTTTAACCCCTTCACGATCGTTGACGGTTCAGGACTGTCATCGGAAAAATCCCCTTGAGGACCGGTGACGATTCTGAACCGTCATAATGGAAATATTTGCTCACCAGGAAGTCCCCCTGCTGGTGAAAAAAGTATTAAAAAGTTATAATAAAGCAATCATAGAATATATATATATATATATATATATATATATATATATATAAATAAAACAAGGGGGGGTTGGCTGCACTCACCTGAACATGCATAAATGGGGGTGCTGCTGGGGGCCAAATAATACAAAACACAAGATCCAGCGCACTCACCTATCCACTAAACAGCAACTTCAATGTTGAAAGATTTTATTAGTTTTTTAAAAACACCTAATCTAGGCAAAAATAATGGGGGTTTAGTTACATTATATGATCATACATTGCATAAGCCTGCCACAACGTCAATGTACCCCATCTTTGGCAGGTCCTACACTAACAGCCTAATGTCTGCTCTTATGAGATTAACCACTTACTTGAGGAAAAAAATTCCATCTGGGGCTCTCTGCAGTACAAGGCTAAATAGGGCCCTGGGATGAGGCACCTGTGACAGAGAGGGGTGCAAAACCAAGGAGTTGGCTAGACTCCCAAATATATATATATATATATGAAACAAGGGGGGGTTGGCTGCACTCACCTGAACATGCATAAATGGGGGTGCTGCTGGGGGCCAAATAACAATACACAAGATCCAGCGCACTCACCTATCCACTAAACAGCAACTTCAATGTTGAAAGATTTTATTAGTTTTTTTAAAAAACACCTAATCTAGGCAAAAATAATGGGTGTTTAGTTACATTATATGATTATACATTGCATAAGCCTGCCACAACATCAATGTACCCCATCTTTGGCAGGTCTTATATACATAATGTCAAACTAAGTGTATTTTTATATTTATATATATATAAATATTAATATACAAATACACTTATAATTAAATTACACACACACACATATATATATATATAAATATATATATATATATATATATTATACAATATAAATAATAAGTAAATAAAAATAAATTTTTTTAAAAATAATTAATAAAAAAAATATATTTATATATATGTAATTTTATTCTAACTGTATTTTGATATTAATATTAAAATACACTTAGAATGAAATTATATATAGATATATATATATATATATATATACATACATATCTATGTATATATAAATAAATAAAATAATACAATATATATATCTATATACAAAATTGCATAAATAATGTCATAAATATACACGTAGACTTCAAATATATAAATATGTATATATATTTAAATTCTATGTGCATATTTTTGTAATAATATTACATAATTAAGTCATTTTATTGTTTGCAATTTGAAGGACCTGCCTGACAACCCAGGCCAAAAGTCCAGAGAATTGAATTTGCTTGCACTGTATTTAACCCTGTAACATAACATGACAACCTAACACCTGTACATTGGGGGTACTGTTTTACTCGGGAGACTTCACTGAACACAAATATTAGTGTTTCAAAACAGTAAAGCATATCACAGTGATGACATTGTCAGTGAAAGTGCCTTTTTTTGTATTTTTCACACAAACAGCACTTTCACTGATATCATTGTTGTGATACGTTTTACTGGTTTGAAACACAAATATTTGTGTTCAGCGAAGTCTCCCGAGTATAACCGTACACCCCATTTACAGGTTTTTTAGTGTTTTTGAAAGTTACTGGGTCAAATATAAGACTTGATTTCCTTTTTCTTTTACATTGAAATTTGCCTGGTTGGTTAAGTTGCTTTTGAGAGCATATGGTAGCCCAGGAGTGAGAATTACGCCCATGATGGCATACCATTTGCAAAAGAAGACAATCCAAGGTATAGCAAATGGGGTATGTCCAGTCTTTTTTAGTAGCCGCTTAGTCACAAACACTGACCAAAGTTAGCGTTCATAATTGTGTTTTGTATTTTTAACGCACAAATAAATATAAATGCTAACTTTGGCCAGTGTTTGTGACTAAGTGGCTACTAAAAAGACTGGACATACCCCATATTGAATACCCTGGGTTGTCTACTTCAAAAACATATGTACATATGGGGTATGATTCAGATATTTATGTCAGATAACAGTGTTACAATGTCACTAATGATACATTTTAAAAATATATATTTTGAAACCCCAATATCCTACTTGTAGCTATAGCCCTATAACTTGCAAAAAAGCATGTAAACACTGGGTGTTTTTAAATTCAGGACAACATTTTGAATCTACTTAACAGTTTTTTTTTCATTAGCTTTTGTAGATAAGTAAAATAGTTTTCAAGTAAAAGTAAAAAAACATTTTTTTAAATGTTTCACCATATTTTATTATTTTTTTTAAAGTAAATTATATGACATGATACAAATAATGGTATGTAAAGAAAGCCCTTCTTGTCTTGAAATAAACAATATATAATTTGTTTGGGAACAGTAAATGAGAGAGAAGACAATTACAGCTAAACACAAACACCACAAAAGTGTTAAAACAGCCCTGGTCCTTAACGAACAACATGGCCAAAACAGTCTGCTTCTTAAGGATTTCATTTTCAATCACATGTTAACTTCCTTTCAAAGTTTTTATCTCCTGCTCTGTAACTTGAACTTTCATCACACATAGCAGGCTTCTGTGGAGTTTAGAGGGCAATTCAAATAGCAGGAGATAAGAGATTCTAAATTAAAACAAACGTGCACTAAAAGAAGTTTAAGCATTAGAGCAGGACGTATTTAGAATAGCATGCTCAGAGATGTGACTAGGGCTGCAGAAACAAAGTGCTTTAAATCCTTAATGGTAGAGAATTGAATGGTGAGATTACAGAGGCATGATCTATACACCAAAGTATATATTATTTATATATTATTATGTGATTTCTATGAACTATATATTGGGAGATATGCCTGATAACCCAGGCAAACACATCAGGGGTTGTGAGTGAAGAGGATACTACAGGTTGCTAGCGTGCCAGGAATACATAGTTACATAGGCTGAAAAGAGATATATATCCATCAAGCTCAGCCTCTCTCACATTTGATTTTTGCTGTTGATTCAAAAGAAGGCAAACAAAGCAGTCTGAAGCACTTCCAATTGTGCAGCAAACTAGGAACAAATTCATTTTTAACCCCAGATTAAGAAGCTATTATCCCACTAAATAAAAATGTCTCTGTCTATTATGTTTTTACAAGTATTTATCCAATTGCTGTTTAAACATCTGTATAGACTCTGATAAAACCACCAGAGAATCCCATATCCTTATTGTTCTTACTGTAAAAAATAATTTCCTTTGCTTTAGACTAAATCTCCTTTCTTACAGTCAAAATGCGTGATCTCTTGTACTATGTATAGTCATATTTATGAATAGATTTCTGGTCAATGGTTTGTATTGGCCCTAAATATATTGTTATAATGATATCATATGCCCTCTAAGGTGCTGTTTTTCCAAACTCAAGAGATTTACATTTTTTAACCTCTTTTCATAACTAAAATGCTCCATTCCTTTTATCAATTTTGTAGGCAGCCACTGCACTTTTTCTAGTGCCATAATATCCTTCTTTAGAACAGGTGTCCAAAATTACACAGCATATTCAAGGTGTGGTCTTACCAGTGATTTATAAAGAAGCAAAATTATATTTTCATCCCAAGAATTAATGCCCCTATTTCTACATGACAATACCTTACTGTTGATTAACATTGCATATTGTTGCCTAGTTTATTGTCTATAACAATTCCCAAATCCTTCACATTTTGTTGTTATCCCTAATTTACTACCATTTAGGGTGTAAATTGGCTGTGCATTCTTTACCCCATATTTTTCCAGACTACATTCCATCTGCCATTTGAGTGCCGCCCCCAATCTATTTAAATCCCTCAGCAGCAAAGCAATATCCTGCTCACATTGTATTACTTTACAGAGTTTTGTTTCATCTGCAAACACTGAAACATGGCTTTTAATGATCAAGATCATTTATAAATATGTAAAATAGAGGCAACCCCAGAACAGAACCCTGAGGGACACCACTTACCACTTTTATCCAGCTTGAAAATTTACCATTAATGACAACTCATTGTACTCTATCCTTAAGCCAATGTTCTACCCAAGAACAATAATTTACGTCTAGACCAATTTCTTTTAGTTTGAAAACAATTTTGTATTCTTAGCCTATAGCTTCTCTTTAAGCAAAGTCATTTGGGTGATTTTTGACATGTTAGTCATGTCCTGATCACATCTTTTTCACGTTTGACTTTATTTGTCCTTATATCAGTTGTTTGTTTTGTTTGCCCTATTGCACTAGACAGCAGAATAAAAGTGGATTCTTAAAAATGTATAATAATAATAATCTTATGATGAGCAAAACACCTATAAAGAATAATATATATATATATATATGTAAAAACAATTCACAGCACAAAAAGCTCAGTCAGAAGCTATAGAAAGAGAAAAAAAGATTGTGGAAGAGAAAAACTGGAGACTGCAAGAGACCATGGAGGCTGAGAAAAGGAGCCAGGAACTACAGTTGGCAATGATACAAGAGAAGAATGAGCAGGATAGAAATACGCTGATAGAGGAGAATAAATGGCTCATCGAAGAGAAGATGAAGGTAAAGTAATAAAGAGACTAACGCAGTAACCCAAAACCAGACCCGACTGGGTGATATATTTATTGAGCCCAGAAATAAATGGTACCTTTGCTTGTATTTTCATTTAGTGCTGATGCTATGTAGAGCTCTTCTAGATGGACCTTAGAATTCGTAGACAAAAATTAAATCTCCCAAACGAAAGGACACTAACTTTTAAAAAATATTTATTTTGGGGTCATTGAGTGAAAGTACAGGCAGAAAATATTATTGGAATATTGTTAGTGCAATTAACCTAATCCCTCCCAAACCCCATGTAAGCATGTCTACCCAGGCAAACTTTCATTTATCATTACAAAGCCTCATTTACTTTTCACTTTGCTCCAGTGTCAGTCTTCATCTGGCAGAGGTACAAGTTTCTTAGCAAAGGATGTGAATGCAAGATTTACCTATTTCTTCCCACTTTAGAAAAAAGGCTTTTTGTTGGTCAAAATACAGAATGCAAACTTGCGTCCATTGATCCAGCCAATGGGGCTAAATGGTGTATTTCCAGGTTTTCATACTAGTGTGTAAGTACAGTTTAGTCATATTTGTATACAGGAAAAGGACAACATGATGAAAGAAGGGATGAAGAAACAATGTGAAATGCTGGAATATGAGATTCAACAGCTGAAGAGGCAACAGGAAGAAGCCAAGGGATCTTTCCTGGGTAATGTGATATCTGGAATTTTACCAGGGGTGTTTTCACGTTTTGTGAAGAAAATATTTTAATACCAAGCATGTATAACATCCTGTAGGATTTGAAATAATATTCAGCAAGTAATATTTTTGTTTTACTGAATACTTTGTAGTTTAAAGTTTCTGTGTCACAAATATAACATTATATCAGATTCTGTTACTGAAGATTATCATGTTAAAATGTGAAAATAGCACAATAAAAAATGTATTATGTAACAATTTGTTTTATTATTGTATTCTATTTATTGCAGTATTAGTAGTCAACGTTTAATATACAATTATGAAAGAGAGTGAAGAACAATATGCTGGTTTGGCTTCATATTGGGGAATGTGTTTGTAGTTTACTCCAGGCTACAGGTAGCCACTCGTGTCCTATATTTTGGGGGTATATAATCACATACCTCCCACCTCTAGCATCCTGAGAATCATATCATTAGCTCTGTCGTAAAGGGGCCAGCAAGGGGCGCGTCCACCCAGGTTCATGGCAGGTCAGCCCGGGGTGAATGCACACCAGACTGTTTATCCACAATTTAATCTAGCCCACTGAGGGCAGACCTGCACCAAACAATATTTCAGTGCCCCCTGCAGGGTCCTAGTGCTCTGAACATAGCGCATGCGCGTCTCATGATGCACTTGTGCTATGATTGTTCGGGGCAGTATCCTAATTTTCTCAACAGCAGGACACCAGGGAACTAAGGTGGAACAGAACCCGGAAATTTGGACGGCCCTGACAAAATCGGGACAGTTTAGGCGCATGTAATCTGCATGCCAACTTCAAACAGTGTGCATGGCGTGTTTGTTTGTGTACTTGTTCATACCTTAGGATGTGATCCTGTCGCACTTATGTAGATAAAATATCCACAGATCTCTTTATCACTAACTGTGTGACTTCCTGGATCAGCCGGTAAATTCCATGAAAACATTGGGAGACTATACGACACATTAGTGCACGATGGAAGCTTCTACAAATGGCATGGCAGTGTAACTCTAATACACACACACTGTGGAAAACATGACTGATTTATCAATTATTGTACCCAATGCAACTGGCCCTTCTCATTTGATATTCATGCATTCTATACCTATATTTAATATACGTAAGATATTATATTCCTGTTTTTCAATAGTGTGACACAAATAAAATAATTATAAAACTTGTGTATGTTGCCCACGGGAATAAAATACATTTAGAATATGTTTGATTCAATTTATCTGAATTGTTTGCAATGACCTGTTAGAATCCCTATATCAACACCAACACAAATATAGTGTCTTAGCAGACTTTCTGTGACTCTACCATGACACTATGACACTTTCAAATATGAATACCATGACACTTAATAAGGAAAATTGTTTGCTACTTACCATATTTTTTTTCCTTGATATTTTTTTTTCCTTTTAACCGTGGCAACATTAACCTTTGGGTTAGCTGCTCCCCTGACTCATCTTCACCTTTCTCATTTAAAAAACAAACAAAACAAAAACAGTAATCTACAGGTAACTAATTTGAACCTGTATCTTTGCTAATGTATTCACAAAGTGTACTGTACTTAGGAGACGTAGATGAGTAAAGTTTTTAAAGAAATTTTAATACAATAGCACACATGAGGTTTACAAAATATGGTGCATAAATACAATGTGTATGTAAACAATATAAAAAATATACCATGGGGGCGGGGCCTGATCGTCATGGTGGAAAGACATATCCTAAACAAGCTCCTCCACTATTCTGAGAAAAAAAGGCATTATCTAGGCTCTTACTGCTCATGTTAAGATAAAAACTCCTGCATTATCAGATCCTCACCTAAGGGAACTCACCTTGCAATAGGGAACTCAACATGCAACCAGAGCCTAATTGCTCCACATTCAGGCTCTGCCCTGTAATCAGACTCAAAGCACTCTGATTAAGCCATGCAATCAGAGTGCTCTGACAGGTAAATGAAGAGACTGACAGGTAAGTCTCAACATTTACCTGTTACAGCACTCTGGTTAGCTGGAAATCCACCAATCAGAGTGCTCTGTATCCTTTTACACAGCGTGGGAAAGGTCTTTGGAATTTTCCCATGCTGTGTAATTTGACTCATAACAACACTCTGATTGGTGTATGTTTGGGTTGGAGTTCGGTGTTCGGCAATCTAATGGCGCGTTTTGAAAGGCTGCAGGGCAGCCAATCAACAAGCGTTTGAATCGTGTGCAGCATGGGACCCAGCCTCTATATATAAGCTGGAGTCGCATAGCGCCGCATGCACATGAGGTCTAATTAGTGTAGGGAGAGGATGCTGCCGCTGTGAGGGACAGCTTAGGAAAGAATTCTACAAACTAGTACATTAGTAGGGTGCACTTCATATCTGAGAGTCAAACAGAAGCATCAAATACTGCGCTTACTGCGCAGTTGTAAACATTATAATTGTTTTGGTGCTAAACTGCTAAATAGTACATTTTGGGGCCTGCTCTTCATATCTGAGAGTCAAATAGAAGTGTCTAATAGTGAGCTTACAGGGCAGTTGTAAACATTCTTTGTGCTAAACTGCTAAATAGTACATTTTGGGGGTGGCAGGAGTGTACCTAGAGCATCCCCCCCCCCCCAACTTTAAATATAAAAACAACCAATTTGTATTTAAATGTATTTAGCACTACGCAGTGTTTGTGTGTTTGAATGTATGCATGTTTTTGTATGGAGTATATGTGAGTGAATGTAGCAGTGTGTTTGTATGTAGTGTTGGCTTTGAATGCAAGCATGCATTTGTGTGTTGTGTGGTATTTGAATGCAGTGGTATGGTTATATATAATGGTGGGGTCTGTATGTAGTGTTGACGTTGAAATGCATGAGTGTATTTGTGTGTAGTATTGGCGAGCTTTTTAGATGTCTGCACATATACACGTACACACATGCAGATACATATACACACAAACACTGTCACACATAGATACACATTGACACACATACAGACATCGTGGCGACTCTAGGAACAATATATATGGGGGGGCACATAAGATAGCACAGTCAAAACAGGAAGGGGAGGGGGAGCAGTAAAACTTCTCACTAGGGGATGAGGTAAAATGCTGCCCAGTGGTGTATCCTGGTTTTGTGCTGCCCTAGGCAGGACAAAACTCAGGCGCCCCTCTCTCCCCCCCACCGCGCCACTTCCACCCAACCCTCCCCTCCGCCCCGCCTTCTAAATACACACACGCACAAATTCACTGACAGATACGCATACACTAGCTAACAGAAACACACACACACTAACAGACACACTCACTAACAGACACACACAGACACACACTCACTAACAGACACTCACAGGCAAACACACTCACACTAACAGACACACTCACTCACTAACAGATACACTCACACTCACTAACAGACACACACACTAACCGTCACTCACTCACTAACAGACACACACACACTAACAGGCACACACACTAACAGACACACACACTCACTAACAGACACACTCACACTAACAGACACACACACACACTAACAGACACACTCACACTCACGAACAGACACACACACACTAACAGACACA